TAAACCCTCAAGCCATGCTACTGACACTGAGGATTTAGGGTACTCCAGCTTGAGGCGCAACCCTGAAGCCGCAGCTCAGCTTGCCCACAGACTCCAATATCCATTAATTAAGGAATATACCTTAAACTATAGTAGGATCCCTATGATTTAAGGTATATTCCTTAATTAAGGGATATTGGAGTCTCTGGGTGGGCCTACTCTAGGGGCCTTAATAGTTAGAACAGGGTTTTGGGGGTTCCTGATTGTAATTGTGGTATAATATACCCTGAACCCTGATCGAATTATTAAGGCCCCTATATTATTCTCAGAGATCGCTCGAAACTGCTGCACTGACTAACGTCAGCGCCTCAATAGAAAGAGCAGGGATTTAGAGGTTTGGAGTCTGCTATACCAGCAGCTGTGTGGCCCACTGCATCAAGAACTTTAGGCAGTCCGAGCTCCAACCCCCTCAACCTCAGAATACTGTGACGATAGTTCCACCCATCTGGTTTTACAAATCCAACACCCCCCCCCCCCCACAGAACCCCAAGCCCAGAATGGCTGTGCACCAACTGCTGATGTACATGGTGGTGCTCGTGTTATGGGTATGGTGGTGCTGCAGAAGGAGGGGTACGTAGTAAAAGCAAAAGCTACTTGCCTTGGAGGTGCAAGTGTTCGTGGCGGTAGTGGTAGTGCTGCTGGTAGTAATCGGAGTACTAGTAAGTCTAATAGTAGTAGCAGCAGCAGCAGCCGCAGGTTTGCAACAGCCGAGTTATGCAGCATACTGCCCAGCAAGGCTCAGCACTCGTGGCAAGGCTATCACATGTGCAGCACACTTGCAGAAATTGGAATAGGATGACTCGCGAAACGGGACAGACAAGGAGATGAAACAAAAGCTTAAGTGCAAAACTGTTGCAAGGCCACTTGGACCTAGTGAGTATCATACACTTCCGGACAGACAGCACGCGAGCGCCGTAGACGTCGGACATTCGGCCAGCCAAACACAATGCTTAGTTTAGGGTTTAGGGTTTAGGGTTTACGGTAATATGCTCCTACACTCGCCGTCCAAGACACTGTCGGTCCACGTTCATCAATTGGCACGACAACACAAGACATCGGTGCGCTACCTCGGCGATCCTACGCTAGGCTTCGCAGCCCGACTCATTACTTCCCTATACCCAGGCAGAGGGTCGTCAGGGATTTGTCGGCCATCTTTCGGTATCCCATCAGCGGTGGCCAATCGAAGCAGAAACCGTCTACGAAAGCAAACAGCAAGATAAATGCATGCCAGTTCCAGCATCTTGCGCCGGGCGAAATTGCGTTGTGGACATTTGCCTGAAGCTGTCGTCCAAGATCCTCCGACCGTTTTTACATCGTTGTCCGAGTCTTTCTTGCCAAGTCCTATGTGGCCCAGCGCACAGGACGAAGGCACTTTGCACACAAGTTAAGCATTCATCTTCTGATCATGCCAATCCTGCTCCCCGAAAGGGTCCAAGTATGAATATGGCAGCTACTTTGTATGTACTTGGGCCTCAAAAGCATATATTATACTATAACTTGGGCCCTTTGGGTTCACGTGCCTCCAAGTCCCCCCAGAGAGCCCAGTACCCCTTAATTAAGGAATATAGCTTAAACCATAATGTTAGGGTCCCTATGATTTAAGCTGTATTCAATTATTCCTTAATTAAGGGATATTGGGCTCTCTGGGCCCTTGCAATGGCAACACCAGCCCCGCAACCAGCGAGCCCCAAGGCGGCGAGTGAGCTGACGTGAAAGGCGGAGGACCCTAAACCCTAAACCGTTTTTTGGAGTTTAGGGTTTAGGGTTTAGGGGTAATGTAGGGGCCTGGATACTTAGAATAGGGTTTGGGGTTATTTTTCGGTATTTTATACTAGAATCAAAAACAGGAACACCCAGAAGAGTATTAGTAGTTATTTAGGCCCCTACAATTAGATGCGATGCGTCTCGTCGGACCTAGAAGCAGCACTTGGAAATGAACGCCTGGCTTGCCGGCAAACCGAAAACTAGTTGCTGGCGCGAGAAAAACTCAGATTAAGCGGGGAGATCGATTGCTTAAAGGCTACAACCCATAAGTTGAACGAACAAAGAAACTGCCTCAGGTGTTTTACACATCTTTCTTTTACATAATTGAACTCGAACAAGCGTGGCAGACCGCGTCGAGTAAACAGCTCTGCTTTTTTGGCTTGTTGTTCATCCTAAACCCTAAACCCAGTGTCGTGGGTGATCTGAAGCCTTTCTTATATGGACTTTCTCATGCTTCTGGCCGCTTGAGCCAGAAGACATATAACATTGCAGCCGAGTATGTGCGAGCCACTAAAGCTAAACTCTAGGGAACTGACCTGAAACCCAAAACAATTGAACCCTCACACTTAAGCCTGCGCAAATACCCAAAAGCTCGATTCACCCTAACCCCTTACCCTAACGGTCCAAAGGACCCAATAATAAGATACTTCGGTTTCGGATAGTAGTCATATGGGTTACTTCTTGGGAGAGTATATGATTATTGGGTACTTGGACCCTTGGGGTTAAGCCCTGAACCGTGAATTTGTGCATGAGGGCCGCACGTTTGCCCGCTCTCCGAGCTCCTTCGCTTCTGCCAGCAGCTTCTTCATGGCTTCACGTCCTTGAGGGTTTAGGGCTTGGTGGCTTAAGGCTTCTACGGTCTATAGGGTTTAGGGTTTAGGGTTTAAGGGTTTGGGGTTTAAGGCTTGTGGCGTTTAGGGGTTTCCCTCCGACTTAGCAAGGACGAGCCCCCTGCTAGGGTTTAGGGATTTAATATAGGGGCCTTCATAATTACCTATACTATTTTGGGGGTTCCTTAATTATGGTTCTTTTAATACTAAGAAGGACTCCAAACCCTAAATTATGAAGGCTTCTATACTAGGTGTATTGGCTTCCGGCTTGCGGGCTTGGGGTCAGGCTTCAGGGCCCTAAGGGCTTCGTAGGGTTTAGGGTTTAGGGTTTAGGGGTTTAGGGTTTAGGAGTTTAGGGTGTAGGGGTTTAGGGTGCAGAGGTTTAGGGATTAGGGTCTAGGGGTTTAGGTTTAGGGGTTTAGGGTTTAGGGTATAGGGGTATAGGGGTTTAGGATTTAAAGGGCTTTAGCGTAGGAGGCCACAGTTCCCTCGGACACTCCAGGCAACGCCATGAAGTTCCCACCTTGTGCGAGTGACAAAGTCATGTCCATGTCAGACTTCAGACTGCCTTATTACAACATAGTCTACAATGCTCCCATAGACTGTGTGCTTGGGTCGAGAACGCATACAATAACAATGGTAAGGACCAATACCCCAAACAAAATCCAACACCAAGCAGGACACCTCTCCTGACTCGCAGCTCAGCCTCGTATTTTTTCACGAAGCATGCGTAAGCAGGTGGATACAGGTACTAACGATCAACACTATGCAGCAGCGTTGCCGTTTCCGCGACTGTGGCTCGGGTCTCTTCAACTCAAAAGTCTGCGGGTCTCTACGGGTGCAGCAGCTTAGGATTTAGCAGCTATGGGTTTAGGCTTGAGACTACAGCTGATCCCTAAACCACCTAAACCCTAAACCCTAAACCCCTATAACCCTAAACCCTAAACCCCTATAACCCTAAACCCCTATAGCCCTAAACCCCTATAACCCTAAACCCCTATAACCCTAAACCCAAAACCCCTATATAGAAGAGCATCAGATGCCCATGTCCACGACTGCCTCGACCTCCTCCTCGCGAGCGATGATGTTGTTCTCGAGGCCCTCTAGGACCTTCTTGCTCCCCTTCAACTCCATGAAAACCTGGCTTTTGGGCTCAGGAATAGGGTTGAGGGTTTAGGGTTTAGGGCACAAACAAGGGGTAATGTAGGGGCCTTAGTAGTCAGAATAGGGCTTGGCTTAGGGCCCCATTAAACTATGATTATAAGAAGGAGCACCCAAAATACTATTGGTAATTATTTAGGCCCCTTTATTGCCTTGTGCAAGGGTCCTCACAAGAAGCCATGCTGCCATGGAATCTGGGGGAGGGCCCGGCTTAGTTTCTGAAACTCCTACAGCCCCAAACCCTAAACCCTAAACCGTCCTTCAGCGTGATCATGTCCCTGGCCATGGCCTTGCAGTTGTCCTTAGTCGCCTCGGTTAAATTCTCGCAAACTGCCGCTTCCCCAGCCAGGTCGATGATCTTCCGAACTTCGAAGTTCATGTCGCTGGCTTCCGCCAAGGTCGAGCGAACGTAGTTCTCGTGGTCTTCTGCCTCTTCTGGGCTCAGATGATCGCGGCCTTGACATTTGATGGGAAGCTCGACTTGCTCCGCTGTCTGAGGGTCATGGCCGTTCTCCTGAAGCAGAGACCCCATGCGGAAGAAGGTCTTGAACCTGTCTATGAAGCCCTCCTCAACGGGCTCTTCGATGACTTCGGTGGCCGGGAGAGCATGGGATGAGATGGGCTCGGTACAACCTGCTCCCGTAAAGTCCCTTGCTTTCTGCCGAGCCTGCTGCGCTGTAAGAGTATGGGGCTGGAAGGACTGTTGCTTCAGGTCGACGAACATGATTCCTCCTTTGTTCCTGTCCCCACCCCCAGTGAACATCTTTGGATCCCAACTCGGAAGTCGCAGAGGCTGGTTGTCTCTCTCGTTGATACAAAAGATCCCCACATAGTCGGCTGAAGAGAAGATGGTGTTCACCACAAAGTCCTCTCTTCTTCAACAACCAGGCCCAAAAAAGTTAAAACTTGTTAGGATAGACCTAATAGATAAAGCCAAAAAGTTTAAAGTTCTCCCATTGGCTATCTAAGAGTCGTCGCCAAGCTTCAGGGTCTCAATCCCCTTGTCCACTTGTTCATGTCCTCGCAGCAACCTGCCAGGGGTTGTCCTCAAATGTAGGGGCCTTAATAACTAGAATAGGGTTTAGGGTTCAGAATAGGGTTTTGGGGGGGTTCCTTCTTATTATAATTACAGTATATAATGGGCCCCCAAAACCCTAGGTCCTCTAATGTAGGGGCCTTAATAACTAGAATAGGCTTTTGGGGGCTCCTTACTATAATTCTAGTATGCTGGGCCCCGAAACCTTATTCCAATTCTTAAAGCCCCTATGGTCAGGTTCTCCTATGGCCCTTCAATATGATAGCACGTGCCCCTTTTTCCTACTTGTCGTCTTGAATACGGAGACCCCATAATACTGAGAGCACAGGGGTCTTACTGGGAGACCTAGACCAAATCCTTAGATTTTAGGGCTTAGGGCTTTAATCCGAATCCCTTGCAGAAGCTGGTTCAACCCGATTCGTTTAAGTCCATACTAAGGGACCTCCAACAAGGGACAACCCTACCCTAAACCCTAAACCCTAAACCCTAGGCCCTAAACCCTAAACCCTAAACCCCAAACCCTAAACCCTAAACCCTAAACCCTAAACCCTAAACCCCGCCTCCTCAGTCCGTTCCCTTGGAGGAAGTTTTTAGTGATATCCTTCCCGTGCTTCTTGATGTTCCCACCCCGCTGGGAATTAGCCCATCCTGTTCCTGCGTGTGGATCTGACCAAACCT